GAGGCCTTGCATCTTAACTGCTTATCATTAAAGAAATAGTAGGAAAAGCAGGAAGAAACTGTGTGATGCGAGTTACTCACAGGATCTACAGTTGGAAGATTGGAAAGTCTCCTCCTTTTCCTGCTTGGACCTGGTGTGGATACAGAATGGTGCCCGTCATCAAAGTCCCCGCTGACACTACTGGATGGGGAAGTAGCTCGTCTTCTCTTGGAACCCATGGAATCCAATTTCTTCTATAAGAATAATTGGCCATGTTCTTATACTTAAATTTAGACACTGCCACCAAGCCCTCAGCTAGGCACTTGCCACCCAGATTCTGGCTCACTTAGGAGGATATTTTAACTGTTGTAAGGAAACTTAACTGTCAGTTTTTTCAGTGGAAGTTCTGGACCTTGTTGCTTCAGCCCCTTCACTTACCAGAATGCTACACTTTTAACTCAGATGGGGCAAATTCAATAAAAGTATACCCATCGTATGTCACCACATTTGAATGACCCAATCGCGTCTGGTCCCAAATTTACTCCTCACTGGACTTTGACAATCTACATGTAAGGGTACACCAGCGTGGAGGTACTGATCCCTCAGCCCCTGAGGCAGCCAGGGACAGAAGCCCCAAGGCAGTCCCCTCTGGGGTCAACAGCTTCATCTCTTATCCCCAGTGTGTCTAACAACTCTGATCATTTTCCAGATGGGTCATGATGTGGAAAAAAATAGTAATCAGTGCCTGAGGCAAAGGAGTAGTGCCAAAGTGTAGGGGACAGAGGACAATTAACCTTCTAGCATTTTAGATGAATTCTAAAATTAACACACTCCATTCATTAAAGAAGGCCACAAAATATATCCCTGGAAAATACTTAATGTGACTTACCATACCTATGTCAAAGTAGTAAAGCCATTTTGAAACTTTTCTGTCAATCAGACTGACCTCCTTTTCAGTTATATGAGGTATTCTATCCCCATGAATTCTGAAATCATAGCTTTAAGTTTCAGCAGATGATCTGGAATAGTACCTCAGAGGGGAACTTTTAGATCCTAGTTGGCCTTCCAGAAACACATCAATATTTGCTGTCAGGGAGGATGTCTAGTATCTAATGTTAACACAACTTTACAAATGTAAACATTTGACTGTAACACAAAAAACGCAACAATTGAAATGATCTGCCACAGCTAGAGGGCAAGGGTATATACCTGAGAAGGTCCTATAATGCTCATACAATTTAACAACAGTATCAAATAGTATACTGTGATTTCAAAGGTCTGTCTCCAAAACTAAAAGAAAAAACTGATTCCAGTTTCGCTCATTAACGTTCAATGTCGGTAAACTAAGACACCAGCAGCTGAAAGAATGGATTGTTGGTGGGCATGGAGAGAAAAACTAGGGATCTCCAGGGAACACAAAGGAGGAGCAAAACAAACCAACAAATAGAACATTCTGGTAACCAACTAAGAAACAAGAGGAGTCTCCTATCTCTTCCTCTGAACTATGGTCCACATGGTATTTAAAAACCGCCTACCATGACAGTACTCCTTCCTCTCGCTTTGGTTATACAGTACGTTAGTTTGCAATTAGCTACAGCTAAAAGGTTCAAAGGGCTTAAGCCAAGGACAGCCAAGTGTTGTTGATTCTATTTTGTTTCATAAAAGGCTGATAAACTGGTCTCAGTTCATTAAGATGAAGAAACGAAGGACCTTGGTAAACAAGCTATGACAAGGACACAAGTGAATCTGATGAACATGACAAGGGAAACTTTATGGAAAGGATAACAAAACTTAAGAAAAGTGGAAGGGAAGAGGCAAGGAAGGACAGAAAAGAGAAAAGGTGTAGATGATCAGTAATTTACCAGCTTTACCAGAGCACAACCAGCTCCTCGAAAAGCCAGTCTCCTCATTATGTCTGAAGGCCAAGTGAAGCCAGTGGGAGAAGGCAGGGCTTTAGAAGTGCTGATGCAGTGTTAATATATTCAAAACTGAAAGAGAAGAACAAGGCAGAGAAAGGGAAAATAAAAAAGAAAGGTCAGAAGGAGTAAAAATGAGTACGAGTAGATAGAAAACATTCAAGTAGAACTGCTACAGAAAGACAAGAGAACTGGAGAAAACAGCTGTATCGGTTCTCTTGTGCCAAACTGCTGAAAGGCTCAGGCACTAACAGTACCTGACATTTCTTTCCATTTTAAAACCAAATGCTTTTCATATGCTTAAAGATGGCTCACTGGGATTCCCCTTTACTCACATGGAATGACTGTCAATTCCAGGAATGAAGCATGCCTGCCCAAATGCCCCCTAGTCAGTAAGAGCAGAGTTCAATCACAGAGCTGGAATGGAGAGTGAACACATGTGGAAGGCTCACATGTGACACCGAGTGTTGGCAAGCTGGAACAAACCAAGAATGGCTCATGTGAACAGAGTCTGGAAAACTCCACCCTCTCTAAAAAAAATTCAGAGAAAGACATTTCTTTCCAAAAGTCCTATTGGCGTTGGAAAGACACCACACACAAATTTAAAGAAATTAAAAACAAAGTCTTCAGTCATTTTGGCAGGTGAACAAAAATTATTTTCAGAAATAATCCACTGAAAAGCAAACGACAAAAAACTGTAAATTGTTGCTGTATATATACCAGTTTAGAGCACACAATAACCCAAACTCCTGAAATCATTAACTTTCTTTGGTAAAACAAGAAAAAGATGCAACTTAAGGATAATTTTCAATTATTTTCTTATCCGAAGGACATGTTTTTAAATGCATTTTGAAAGTCTGGCAATAAAGGCGATGTGGCCAGGTAGGTGGGAGAAGCAATAGGACTTGAGCTCCGAAGACCAGAATGTGAGTCCCAAGTCCTCCACTTCGAATGATCTGTTTGATGTTGCTTGAGTCACAACCTCTCAGAGCTGTTTCTTCACTTCTAAAATGAGAACAGTCAGGTGTGCATATCTGCCTTAGATTATTGGGGTTGTGAAATGTACATGAAATCACTTTGAAACTTCAAAGCACAACAAAGAAATTTCAACTCTAGGATTAACTACTCCCTGGGAAAAGGAATAGCACTTTATTCATTTTTGTAGCTCTGGCTTATAGAATTGTATCTGGTACAGTATGAATGGTCAATTTACCTTTTTAATAAACACATAAGTGGGGCATTAAAAAAAGTTTGTGTGGTTTAAAAGGACTGTGAGCATCCCTTTAGCAAGTCTTTTCCCATCAAGAGGAAATAGATTCTGGAGCTAAAATACAAGTTTTAAAATGGCAATGATTACAGTCACATGTCCAAAAGTCTGACAACCAATAAATTACAGTGGACACTAATGAATAATTTTAAAATGTGCAACTGGGAAAATATTGACTCATTATACCCACATGGTATATTTTGACAGTATAAAAACTTATCATACTCTCCTGTATTTCTTGTGATACTCAATACTGTAAGACATGCTTAGAACAAAAATCTTGAAAAACAGGATTTGAAGGGGAAAAAAAACATAATTCTTCTTTCTAGAAAAAGAAAAAAACCTTAACATTGGCATCCACAGCTTTTTGTATTTATTCTATGCCTTAGTTGCCTATTTTTTAAGCAAAAGTGTTAAGCCATATGTATTATTTCACAAGTTGTGTTTTAACTTAGGATTCTTCCAAATCAACATTCCTCCCCATGATGTTTAATGGCTTGATAATAGCCTATCGTATATATACCACAATTTACTAATCTTGAGGTTTGGGGTAGAATATTAATATTTGAAGTACTTTGTACACCCAAAGCCAAAGAAAGTGATCAAGGCCTTTCCATTTATCCATGCACATTTTTGTTACTGATTTAAATTGGAAAGACTTTTTCAAAAGATACTTTCCTATCTTCCTTCGAATCTTAAAATACCGGCGATCTGTTAATAAACAAAAAAGCAAAATCATACTCCTCTTAATGGATAAACATCACTTCAAAATCATTTTTAGAGGAGTCCTAGTTTTTTGGAATATAAGTTAGTAAGAATGTTTTATTCCAACATATGTTCTACAGCCATAGCAATAATTTCTGTATCTGCTACACTGTGTATTTGCCAATTGTTTTTCAGTATTTCTTCTACATTTTGCCAATCTTATTTAAATCATCAATATCAGCTCTATCACAACAAAACTACGCTTCTTTCAGAAAAAAATCTTAAGAGGTGAGAAATTATTAAAAACTAGGAAACGTACAGTTTTAAAACATCGATTTTTTTTGTGGTGTGCAAAAAGAGAAGATGCTTAAATATCTAGCTTCTACTATAAATACAAGTCCCATTGATAAAAACATTCCGTCTGAACACAGTCATCTAGAAAATGTAAAAAAATAAAAAATTAAAACAAATTTCTTAACTAGTTGAGTTTGAGTCCGAACCGTCAAGAAACAACAAAATAAAGGAGGCCCTGACCTGCGGAAGAAATGAAAGACTTCCCGGACCTGTCACTGGTTCGGGACTAAGGGAAACGTTGACAGCTTTGAAGCTGCCCGCGACGAGTGCTCGGCCAGCCGCAGGGGCGGGAAAGAGGGAGCGGGGAGTTTCCGGGCCGTAGCGCGCCTTTGTCCCGGCCGGCAGGTGCGGCAGGCTGCCTGGCCGTCCCGACGCCCACCGCCCGCCGCCGTGCCCCGCCCCGTGCGCCCGGCCCGACCGGCGCGTCCCCACGGCCGGGGCGGGGCCTCCGCCGCTGCTCCCGCCCGCCCGGGCCCACACAAAGGCCCGGCAGCCGGCCGAGAAGGAGCGGCCCCGCCCGCCCCGGGCCCGGCCTTACCCAGCCGCTCCGCCGCCTGCAGCCCCGGCCGCGGTCACCGACCGCCGCGCCCCGCCCCGTGGCCGCCACGGCTGCTGCTATTGCTCCTCCGGCTGCGGCCGCTGCCGTCGCTCCAGCACCCGCCGCCCTCACCGCCCTCACCCCTCCCGGTGCCGCCGCAAAACCAGTCCCGCGGCCGCCAAGCGAACCCGGATCCGCACGACACTGCGTGCGCGCGCACGCGAGCGGGCGGCGGCGCTCTTTACGGCAATAGCGTCAGTGCGTGGCGCTCGAGCTTGGCCGCAATTTACACGTGGCTGTGTGGGACGCAGGTTGCTGCTGCTGCCTCTACAGTCACTGCCGGCACTGTCCTTATCGCTACCAGAATGAAGCGACCGAGTGAGTCGGGTCGGGGAACGGGTGTTGAGGGGCCTCTGTCTCTGATGGTCAACGAACCACCGGGGCGTTCTTCTGTGGGAATGGGGGAGCCTCCGTATAGGCCGTAGTGCTGGTCGCCAGTAGAAGCGAGGGTCGGAAGGTCCCACGCTGACCGCCGGCCTGTTTTACGAAAGGTAGACAAAAGTGAGGATCACTGAGGCGCCTGGGTTGTTTAGCCTGTTAAGCGTCTTCCTTTGGCTCGGGTCATGATCCGGAGTCCTGAGATCCAGCCTTGTGTGGACTCCCTGCTCAGCGCGGAGTCTGCTTCTCCCTCTGCCCCTTACCTTCCGCCTCTTGTTCTCTGTCAAATAAATAAAATAAAGGGAGGGAGTTTTTGACGAAGACAGAGAGAGTACAAGCTGGGACAGGGAGAAGCAGGCTCCGCGGTGAGCAAGGAGCCGGATGGGGAACTCATCCCAGCATCCTGGGGTCATGACCTGAGCCGAAGGCGGACGCTTAACCGACTGAGCCACCCAAGGCGCCCAGATAAATAAAACCCTTAAAGAAAACAAAGTGAAGATGAGGCCTGGGTCTCCTGCCTAAACAGTGTCTGAGCCAGTTGCAGCCCAGGATTTTCCTCTCTTGGGCCATGTTCAGTCTGGCACTGGCCAGGTCTGAGAGCCACTTCTGAAATCCACTGTTCTGTCCTAACTTGTGATTCATGGTGTGTGCTAGGGGTGCCCGGGTGGCTCAGTGGGTTAAGCCTCTGCTTTCTGCTGAGGTCATGATCTCGGGGTCCTGGGATCCAGCCCCACATTGGGCTCTCTGCTCAGCAGGGAGCCTGCTTTCCCCTTTCTCTCTGCCTGCCTCTCTGCCTACTTGTGATCTCTGTTAAATAAATAAATAAATAATCTTAAAAAAAAAAAAGTGCCTGCCCTTTGGGGTCACATGGTCCTGAGTGTGATTTTAGTCTACTGTGGGAAGAAGAGAGGGAGTAAGGAAGCTGGGCTCTGTGCCAGATATACTGAGTCAAATTGTTGGAGGTTTTAGAATGGCCTATATTTACTATCCACCACATATGATTCTTAAATTAGGTTTGAGAGTTGATTAATTGCTAAATAGGAAAAGTGATGTGACGACCCCACCCCCACCCCAGCACTGTCACTAAAAACGAAAACAGATCACTTGTGTCTAATCGTTTTGTGATGGGTTTCTTTGTAGAGTTAAAGAAAGCAAGTAAACGCATGACCTGCCATAAGCGGTATAAAATCCAAAAAAAGGTAAGCCTTGTGCTTGAAAGAGCTACATTAAATATAATGCTAAACTCATTTTTGTCCCACCTCTTCTCCACTAGGAGGTTTGGATTAATAAGATTTCACCTCATGAATTTGAAGTTAAATAGACTGTGTGTGGGCACAATCTTAGACATCAGGAGTATAGCTGTAGGAAAGTGCAGTAACTTGGTGATAAGTCTGTAAACTCTGATCAAGATGTTAATGTCTGCAGAGAGTCTCCTGATGACATGTTTTTGCTGCTTTATACATAAGTACGTATGTTCTTTGTGTTGTTACAGTTTAACTTTTCTAGGTTATCTTATAGGTATAACCAAGTTTAGCCAGATACTGATAAGAATTTTTATAATAGGTTCGAGAGCACCATCGAAAATTGAGGAAGGAGGCTAAAAAACGGGGTCGCAAAAAGCCTAGAAAAGACCCAGGAATTCCAAACAGTGCTCCCTTTAAAGAGTCTCTTCTTCGGGAAGCTGAGCTAAGGAAACAACGAGTAAGATGTTAATTCAAACTTTGACCAAGTGATGTGTGGGTATGTGTAGCTTTTCAAAATAAAATAACACCAGGTTGCTTGGACTCACCCATTTCTCTTACGGCTTGGACACAGCTTGAAGAACTAAAACAGCAGCAGAGACTTGACAGGCAGAAGGAACAGGAAAAGAAAAGAAAACTTGAAACTAACCCTGGTGTTAAGCCATCTAACTTGGAACCTGTGAAAGAGGTACGATTAAGTGTCTTTGTGAATGAGAGTTCTGACGTAGAAGTAAAAACACATACCTAGGGCAGGGGCGGCTGTGCCTCTTGAACAGAAAGACAGTTCCAACTCTTACTAAAAGAAATACCACTTGCAGCGCCCCTAATTAGCCATGGAAGATAGAGAATCAGGTTGTACCTGAAGTGCTAATTTTGTGTACTTTTTCCCTTGTCTTTATCTTGCAGGAATTCGGGCAGGGCAAAGCTAAGGACAAACCCAAGTCCGGCAAACAAAATCCGAAGAAGTTGTATTGTCAGGAACTTAAAAAGGTATTTTAGTCTAGGTTAGTGTCTAAAAATGGTAGTGAGGTTGAGAATACTAGAGTCGTTCTTTTTCTGACACCAGCCCTATAAGTGTGGAAGTGGAGTTCACTTGAGCTAGATGAATCCTTCAGCAAGTTGACTTATCCTGTTTTGTTTTGTTTTGTTTTGTTTTTGTAAAGGTTGAGAGAGAGAATGGGGAGGCAAGCAAGGGACAGAGGGAGAAGGAGAAGCAGGTTCCCTGCTGAGCAGGGAGCCCTAGTAGTAGGGTGCATCGGGGGCTCGATCCCAAGACCCTGAGATCATGACCTGAGCCAAAGGCAGATGTTTAACTGACCGAGCCACTCAGGCACCCGAGTTCTCCTGCTTTTTAGTTTGTTTGTTTATTTATTGTGGTTTATTCTGATTAGGGCCTTTTTTGTTTAGCTAAAGGAAACATTCTTAAGGTTAAAAATTTTTGCACAGGAACAGTTCCCTATAAGCATGATTTACAAAAATGTTATTTTGTGTTAAAGTAACATGTTGATAGTGTGGTTTTTAAAATAGAGGAAAATACGTTCCAGCAAGCAGTGTGGAAAAAATACTCTGTTGAAACCCAAGTGAAGGAAGTCAGGGGTTAGAACTCCCATTCCCAATACCCATTTTCCCAAGGTTACTTCCCTGTGACTAGACCATGATTGCTGCTCAGCAGCTCCTGGCAGGCCAGTGGGGCCTGTCAAACTACATAATTCAGTATTAGAGGGTTATATTTTCCACTTTTCAAATCCACTTTCATGGGAGACCAGAGGCTGCCAAGCAAACCTGTATTTTACTTTGCTGTGAGAAAGGATGAACATGCTAACATTCTTCATGCCAAAGTGAAAATGTAAGACCCAACTCTGAGCTCACCCTGGTGCGAAGTGGAAGATGCCCGTATACTTGTATGGAGGGTGTTGCCAGAGCAAGGAATCCTCCTCTGATAGTTTCTGCCTTGCCAGGTGATTGAAGCCTCAGATGTTGTGCTGGAGGTGTTGGATGCCAGAGATCCTCTTGGTTGCAGGTGTCCCCAGGTAGAAGAGGCCATTATCCAGGGTGGACAGAAGAAGCTGGTACTTGTATTAAATAAATCAGGTGAGCAAAAGGGGATGCCTTTTATGTACCAGTGCACTAGTGAGGTATGAGGAAAACATGTGACCAGTCTTACTTTCACTGAAGACTGATAAGATCCAACTCTGACCTCAATAAAGCCAGTGCATATGGTCTTGTTGCTAAAGACAGTGCTGGGCAGTGGGATGGAGGTATTTTCTATAAGCGATAATAGGTTTCTACTGGTTTTGTTTTTTTGGCCATTTAGTACTTACCATCTTGTCTTATTTAAGAGTCTGAGTTTCTCTACTTAGCTTACTGTGCGATGTACTGGACATAGGAAGTGATGGTAGTTTGCTATATTCCCCACATCTGCGTAATGTCCATATATGACGATATGAAGTGCACTTAGGAAGTACTGGTTTGAGCATCTGGGCCAGGAAAACCCAGAATGCCATCCATAGTTACGGTTGGTCACTTTCGGGTAATTAACTGTAAACGCTCAGGTAATTACCTGAGAGTACATTCTGGAAACATAATTCTAGAGTTAAGTTAGTAGGGTCATAATCTATAGGTTGACTTAATTCTGAAGGGTGAGTGATGCAGAAGGGAATCGAAGAAGTACTGAGGTGTAGATACTGAACTCGGTTAAGGTAAGGACAGCATGGTAGGGAGTTTACCCTCTTCCCATCTTCCACTTAAATCCTTCTGAAAAAAACTGTGAAGAGACAAGAGTAAAATCCAAAGTTTATCAGATAGTGCGTATTCATGTCAACAGAATGACCAAATTGGGGGGTGTGTTTTATTTCTAATCCCTATTAGATTTGGTACCAAAGGAGAATTTGGAGAACTGGCTAAATTATTTGAAGAAGGAATTACCAACAGTGGTGTTCAGAGCCTCAACAAATCTGAAGGACAAGGGCAAGATAATCAAGGTACTCTTTTCGGTCTGTGGTGGGAAGTATGGTTCTTTCAGATTTTGGATGGCTGAAATATGATGAGTATACAAAATCTTGATTAAAAAATGAGAACTCATAAGATCCAACTCTGATTTCATCCAGAGATAATCTGAAAGATAATAGTGTAGTGATTTTAATAGCTGGGCTCTGGAGCCAGATTGCTTGGGTTTTATTTGGTGGGGTATCAGAAGTAGTTAAGTTAATTACATGGAATTTTAGCATTTGAAGGTAAGGAAGAGAGCTCCATTCAAAAGCGAAGTCTGTGTTGGAAAAGATGGCCTTTGGAAGCTTCTCAGAGGTTTTCAGGAAGCTTATGGCAAAGCCATTCAGGTCGGAGTAATTGGTGAGTTTCAGTTCTTATCTCTTACTTGCCAAGGTTTTACTCATGTTAACAGTGTATTGGGTTGGTGCTCAGTAAAGGGCTTGTTCAAACATTAGCTTCTTGCCCACATCACCGAACACAAAAAAATTTTAATTGCTGCATATTTCAGTGCTATGCACTGTAGGAGTTTGGCTTCTGAAAGCTGGTTTGTTTGAATTAATCATCTTTTCCTGCTCTGATTACATGTGCAAGAAATGAAGATGCTAAGATTGGTCTTAGTGTTTAAGTGAAGACACTCAGATCCAACTCTGATCTTGCTGCAAACATCAGGCAAACCCAAACTAAGGCAATGGAAATGTTATAATTACCAATACATAATCCCTCTTTTCCTGTGGATTTCCCATTTGTAGGTTTCCCAAACGTGGGGAAAAGCAGCATCATCAATAGCTTAAAACAAGAACGGATATGTAATGTTGGTGTATCCATGGGGCTTACAAGGTAAAGTGAGTTCTTCCAGAATTGTGATATTTCATTATAGATGAGTAAATATTATTTTGTTTTAGATAGCTCAAGGAAGACCATTTTCTATTTTTTTCTTTAGAGATGTCAGTGAAAGGAGCAGGGATAAGTCAGTGCTAGACTTAGGGAAGAACTGATTAGCGTGGAATAGCTCCCATCTAGTTTGAAAGACAAACAAGTAGATTGAGAGAAGGGGAAACTGCCTCAGAAGAAGGGATGCTTGACCCCAACTCTGAATTGCAGTCAGCCAGGTGGAGGGGAAATTTTCATGGCAGAGCAGACAGTGTGTGAGGTCAGCATGTAAGCTGTACCATTGTGTTTGTCATCGGTAGGGGAGGAGCACTGTTAAAGTTTCCGATAAACATGAAGCAGATGATGAGGAACCGGATCTGACAGACTGTGCTGAGTTTGTTCAATCCAACCCTGAGCTTCGTGTTGTCTCTCATCCTCCAGGGAAACCAGTGCTCCCGTCAGTTACTATCCCTCTTGTTCCAGGTGCATGCAGGTTGTCAGCCTGGACAAACAAATCACCGTCCTAGACAGTCCAAGTTTCATTGTGTCTCCACTGAACTCTGCCAGCGCACTTGCTCTGCGAAGTCCAGCAAGTATTGAAGTGGTGAAACCGGTGGAGGCTGCTAGCGCCATCTTGTCCCAGGCCGATGCTCGACAGGTAGAAGAACCCCCCCCCCTTTCCGTTGCGCTCTTTTTCATCATAAGCATTTTAAGTAGAGGATTTTCAAGATTTTTTTTTTACACTCTATCAGATGAATGACATTTTCAGTTTTTCTTCCTTTTTTAAAGGTGATACTGAAATTTACTGTTCCAGATTTTAAGAATCCTCTGGAATTTTTTACATCACTTGCTCAGAGAAGAGGACTGCACCGAAAAGGTGGAAGCCCACATTTAGAGGGTGCTGCCAAACTGATGTGGTCCGAGTGGACAGGGTAAGACTTCTTTCTTTTGGCATTTTGAGGATCACATGGAATGAAGTAACTGATTTTTGACAAACCTTGTGTTTAATACCAGTGCCTCCTTGGCTTACTATTGCCATCCCCCTACATCCTGGACTCCTTCTCCACATATTAATGAGGGCGTTGCAACCAGCATGATACAGGGCCTTAATCTGGAAGAACTGGAAAAGAACAATGCACACAGCATACATAGTAAGTTTTGTGTTTACAGTCTTCACTGGCTGACAGGCCAGTAAAGGTCTCCTCTATTTACGTGAGCACTGTGTTCCTTCCCTAGCTATCAGGGGCCCTCGTTTAGCCAGTAGCATCCTTTTCCAGTCTTCGGGTCTGACAAATGGAATAATTGAGGAAAAGGACATACCCGAAGAACTGCCAAAACAGAAAGAGAAGCAGCAGCAGGAGGAGGGGGAGGACTACAGTGACCAGGACAGTGTTGAAGAAGCTGCTGTAAGTATGTTGCCTGAGTTGCTTAAACTGAAGGAAGTTTTCTAGCATTATAATGTCTAACAAATGGGAAGGGGCTGAAGGGAGAAATTAAACAGTACGTAATAGATTACAAAAAAAACAAAAAACAACAACAAAAAAAACCCAACTCCTTAAGATTTAGGTGTTTAAGGCTTGTAATCATTAGTCTCAATTTTGTGCATCCCATGATGTGTTACCTTCTGGGTTTTTTCCAGATACGCAATCCCTTGGATTAATGGCAGACAAGGGTTACTAATCTCCTACTATTTCTCTTTGTCCCACAGGAAAAGAGCTCAGACGTGTGTGGGGCAGAAGAGGCCTGGGAGGCACTGCCTGAAGAGTCTCAAGCAGGTGGGGCAGCTTGGGTGGAGGGGTTTACTAGCAAAGCAGCATGGTATCAACTTGCCTATTTTCTTAAAATATCTTTTCTCTAATATAGATGAGTCAGCACTATCTTACATCTCAGATAAAATGACTGAAGAGGAAGATGATGCTTACGACTTCAGTACAGACTACGTATAAGAGTCTTTTCATAAGGTGGCTTCTTAGCGTTTTGAACAGACTGCTAAGCTGTTATATTGTGTGTGATGGACCAGTTTGTTTTACAGTATGATGTAAACTATAAATTTTGTAAATATGTATCATACATTCTTTAAAATATGGCAATTAAAAAAGTGTCTAAGTTCTATAAGAAGAGAACTTCCCTCAGGGCGCCTGGGTGGCTCAGTGGGTTAAAGCCTCTGCCTTCGGCTCAGGTCATGATCCCAGGGTCCTGGGATCGAGCCCCGCATCGGGCTCTCTGCTCAGCAGGGAGCCTGCTTCCTCCTTTCTCTCTCTGCCTGCCTCTCTGCCTACTTGTGATCTCTGTCTGTCAAATAAATAAATAAAATCTTTAAAAAAAAAAAAAAAAGAACTTCCCTCTTATATAGTGAGTGAATAGAAGCATAATTAATTATCTGGAAGCAAAAAATCAAGATACCTATTGAAAAATGTAGGTTTCACTTTATTAACAGCTCAGACCACAGGTTAAGGTTACAAAATTAAAACCAAGCAGCAGTGTTGAATTAGCTGTACCATCCCTGTCATCCATTCACCTCTGGTCATTCAGCATGGTAGTAAGCAAACACTTGGTAAGGCAGATGGGAAACATTTATGGTCTGTTAGCCAGGGTAGTCTGTTCTCTTTACCCAGCTGAAATGTCCTTTTTTCCATGGGTTGCCGCAGATTGGCTTGGAAGCCTTGGAACTGTTACTTCCCACACATACTGTCTTCTAGGATTTCCTGAGAAATGTTTATAGCATAAATTACATTTTATTTTATATTTGAGATCTCCATATGTCTTCGGATCAGGCTGAATTTGCCTGTTGGGTCTGGAATATACCATTTTTCCCAGACATCAGAATAGGAAGCAGTTCTTCCCCATGGCTTAAAGTGACCATTCCAATGGAGTAACTTGGCAGCCTTTACAAATTGGGGTGAATATCGTTTTCCAGCACTGGAACCTTACATTGAGAGAAAAAGAGCCAAATGATGGTACTAGTATTAGTCAGAAATAAGAATGCTACATCAAACTGGAGAAAACTTAAAGGAAACTAGATATATCCCGTCCCTGAGAATAGTCCTTCAATTAATTCCTTATTAGCTTAGGACTTTTGGTGGATTTTTTCGACTTACCAAGGTGGCGGACGTTCCACATGGGGTCGATGGTAGAGTGCTGTTGATAAAATACGATCAGCAGAGGGGGTGTGGTGATGCTGCCAGCCAGCGTTCTGCTGTACAGCCCCTCTCTTGGGAAAGAGAACAAATGGAAGGTGTTAGTGGAGAATCCCGACAAATTAGTCGTTAAGACTCCCCCAGAGTTGAAATAAGGGTCTTCACAGGGTGGTCAGCTATCTACTTACTCTACATTGAGTTTCATCCATTTTTCCAGCTGGTTAGTTATATTCTGTTTTCTCCATTCTGTCAGGTTTGCAACAAAAACTCCAGGATTAAATGAGCAGGTGCTGGCTTTCATGGAAAGTTTACGAATTCTTTCCTTTTTATAGTCCAGATAGCCGATGTAATTGTACTAAAACACAGATGGGATATATAGTATGTTTACTGCTTCAAACAGAACAGATATATAACTAATAGTAAAGAAAAAACCCGCTTATTTAACTACTTGTATTATCAGCAGAGGGTTCCATGTAAAGGAAAGCAAGTTGACATCTCAGATTCCAAGTTAGCGTAGGAACCCAGAATAAACATACTAAGCCAGATATTGAAGGAGAATTAGGTTGTCATGTTCACTGATCAAGCCATAGGAAAGCAGCCTTGAGTTCTGGGATGAACTGAGGAATGTAAAACAGCAAAAAGGAAAGCTCCCTGGCTTTGCCGCTTCCCCCCCATAACCCCGCATTAGAGAGCGTGGAAGTGTCTGAACAAGATCCCCAATAAGTAACTCACTTGGTTCCCTGCTCCGCGGACGATAACTTTGGTAGAGGCGGAGTCACAATCTTCTGAAAATGCAGCTGCGTGTCCTGGCTTCAGTGGTGTATTAAAAAGGGCAAGAATGTCCCCTGAAATAGACAGAATTTAAGGTTTACACTTCTTTGTTGTTAAGATTTACGCTTTAAGTTGCCTCAAGATGCCCACTCCTCGGGGCGCCTGGGTGGCTCAGTGGGTTGAGTCTATGCCTTCAGCTCAGGTCATGATCTCAGGGTCCTGGGATCTAGCCTGCTTCCCCCTTTCTCTGTCTCTGCCTGCCTCTCTCCTACTTGTGATCTCTGTCAAATAAATAAATACAATCTTGAGGAAAAAAAAAAAAAAGATGCCCGCTCCTCCCAATTAGGATGACCTTTTAGAGGATACTAAAACAACCACAACCGCCCACACTCTGGACAAGAAAAGCACCAATGGTGACAATCTTTGGTACCTTGCACAATTACATCATCATCCATATAAATGGCCTTCTTTGCACTGGGAACCAGAATTGGCAAGTAGAACCTAGCAAAGGTTAACTGGGAAATAAAAAGGAAAGAGGCATTGGCATAAGATTTGTCAGTGGCTGTGCGTTTATTAGAAATTCCCAGAATGCTGCTTGTGCCCATGCAAGAGACAGCAGAAGGGCTCATGAACCACCCCACCTGGGCCCCCCAGGGAGCAACTTGCAGTGCACCCAGTTACTCGGGCATTCCAGTCCTTTTCTAATATAGCTGACCCTTGAACAATGCAGGGTTTAGGGATAATGGCACCCTGGACAGTCAAAAATCCACATAAAACGTCACTCCCCCAAAACCTGATAACCTACTATGGACTAGAAATTTACCTAGAATATAAACAGTCAACATATTTTGTGTTACATGAATTATATACTGCATTGCAATAATGTAAGCTAGAAAAAATGTTAAAATCAGAAAAAACATTTACAGTACTGTATCCAAAAAATCCATATTGAAAAAATCTGCATGTAAGTGGACTCCTGTACTTCAAACCTGTGTTGTTTTAGAGTCAACTAAACTCCCAAGTACAAACAAGGATGCAGAGAACTCACTGGTTTTACGGATTCCCCCTGGTCAGGATCCTCCTTTACTTTCCCTTCCAAAAGTTTAGTGTCAAAAGTCACAATTTTGTACCTGATGCTTTTCAAGGTACTGCTTCTGAGCCAGGACCTGATGAAAATAAAGCACCAAATTTCAGTTTTATATAACCATGTCCCCAAGACTACAGCCTTCTCTGTGCCTTCCAAGGGCACAACGTAAGAGGAACCCTGGTGACCAGATAGGTGTCTTATAGCCCCTTCACTTATGCAAACCTTGGTTTCTTCACCAGCAGTGAGGGGATGCCCACCCACGTCCCTGCCTGAACCAAGATTCTGTGGTGATGGGTAGAGCCCCCAATGGGCTGACACTTTCGATCACTAAACTCCCTGTGGAGTTGAGAACACCCCATTACCACATGTGGTCCAACTCTTGTCTCCCCACATACATGAAAAAAAGTCAGAATATGATGGCAGTGAAAGCTAATTATCAACAAAGTGGGAATCACCCCATTTTTATAGACTCATTAATTCACTGTAATGACTAATTCTTCCAAGTCTAAGGTATTGTCTCTAAGAAAAGTCTATATTCTCTAAGGTAGGTACTGCACATTCTTTCTGTAGCTATTCTAATGTAGTGTTTGTTTCTACATTTTAGATGGGTTTGGAGTTTTTAAAATATAGGGGAAAAAAGTCATCACAATTTTCTCAACTAAACATGAACCATGTAGAAAGCCACAAGGACAGGAATGTTTCAGAACTTCGGCAACTGGGGCACCTGAGTGGCTCAGTTGTTAAGCAGCTGCCTTCAGCTGAGGTTATGATCCCAGGGTCCTGGGATTGATCTCTGCTTCCGGCTCCCCACTCAGTGGGGAGTCTGCTCCTCCCTCCCTCTCTGCCTGCCACTCTACCTACCTGTGCTCTCTGTCAAATAAAATCTTAAAAAGAAAGAAAGAAAAAAAAAAAAAAGAACTTTGACAACTGTTAACCTGTTAGACAAGATGTTTCTTTGACTAAATTTCATAAATCTGAATTCAGAGCATTTTTAAGACCTAGGTGAGTTTTTGTTAATCAGCTTAGGATTCTATGATTAGTTACAGCAATTGTAGTAAGGAACATTTACTGAATGATTGTTATTTTATATATTTTTTTATAAAAATATTGTGTTTTTTATATATTTTCTCATTAAGTTGGGTATTTTCACCCCACACTTAGAGATGTGGAAATGGGCTCTAAGGGGTTAAATAAATGTTCCCCGATCACTCTGGGCCAGGATCCAGATTCTGTGTCCGCTCACTTCACCACACCACCTTGCCATTGCTCCCCCGTCCCATCCCACTCTAGACTACTCAGGGTATGTCCATGAAATAAGGAAATTGTAACAGGATGTAAATTAACATATTGCATCTTTCACCAAGAAACTCATTACCAAATGGTATCAGCCTGAGTCAACAATGTATATGGCACAGCTGATTTACATCTTGGCACAAATTCCTTGTATTGTTTCTCCTACAATGCGGAAATGTTTATGATACAATCACATGGAAAAACATGTCATGTGCAGTTCTGATGTGGCATAATCCCAGCTGTATAGAAAAAGTATATACATATAGAAAAAAAACTTCCTGGATTGGCAGCTGGCCTGTCCTAGAGCATCCTCCAGAAGCAGAATCATCAGGCAAGCAGAGCTCACCGGAGATGGTCTGCTGTACCATTGAGTGTAACGAGGTAGAACATCACATTGGAGCGAGTGTTGTGCTGAATGCTGTTTATAGCTGCAATGGCCCCCCCAAGCCTATCTTCAGATGCAGCAATGACCACAGGAATCTCCTCTTGTCTCCCGTCTACAGCTTGTCGGGGAACACTTGGGACAAAGTCTATGGGCTGAAACCCCACAATTCCTGAATCTGCAAAGAACACACACAAGGAAGGTATTGTGATACAAACAGTCTCATGAGATTTTGAATAGAGAGCCCAAGACATGAAAAGAGGTAAGATGAGGACTATACTTACCTCATTCTCCCCTCATTGCAATGTGAGGCAGATGGCCCAGAAACTTTTTCCTATGTGTAACAAGGCTTTTGGAAAAGCAGAAGCATTAAAAAAAAAAAAAAAAAAAATTGGTGGACTGAATTCTGATACACTACTGGTGGGAAT